TAAATTATCAGTATTTAATCTATATTTTGCATAGCATTATGGTATACCCAAATACAGCAAAGGCTAACAGTGCATATAAGCACAAGCACGAGGGACCTTTTTTTCTCATTAGGACAGAAGACTAATGTGAAAAATGTGGAAATGTGTGGAAAGCAATTGCTTTAATATGAGTGTCCTTACTTTTTAAAATAAAAACAACGTGTTACATTTGTACAGTGCATTTCAGGCATTAGAGACACTAAGTCAAGTGTCTTTAACCTAAAACACCATAAGAACATTTTCTACAGGTTTCTTGGCAAGCGATCCTGAGTAACACCTGTGTGCTTCTTCTTCGTCAACGTAAATACTATTGTTTTTACTGATCCCCTCTACAGCACAAAAACTGTAGCATGATTTCTTATTGTGAAGAAAAGACCAACACACATCACATGACAGACGCAGTACATCTCTTACACTGTTCAGCGTGCATTCATGTGGTGTCGGAATAATCAGCATAATTCGCTTTCCACTGGGAAAATCCATGTAAATGCCACCTCAAGTTAGAAAAACTATAAAAAATGATTTTACTCTCTACTCTAAAAGGCAGCTTCCATTGTGAACTTGTTAGATGTTACTTTAGTCACTTTTGCATCTCTCACAAGGCAGACATTTTTATGATTAAAATTAATATGTTTGAAACTATTTAGTATATGCCTGTCACTCCTAATCCTAGAATAGAATAGTCCACCAAAGTGGAAAATTGTCTTGCTCATCAAAAAAGCAAACAAGCAATAATGACACTGAGTCATAAAAACAAAAATCGTAAAACACCAATAAAAAAAAAACAGGAAATTAGTAAAACAGGCATGTGGCCTTCATTTGAGGACTGAATCTCACTTTGTGGAGTTAAAAATACTAAAACATTTTTAGTTGCCAGATGAACTCTACAGCGCCTCCCAGAGCTCAAAGGCTCCAACTGGCTAAAGAGAGGATGGAAGCCATCTGCCTGGTTACCTCCTCACTCATCCTTTATGTAGAAGGTTGGTTCAAGGTTCTTCACACATTAATACATGTTAATGTTTGTTGAACACATTCTGACTTCAAGGTACATTACATTAACAAACTGAAATCTGACGACTTCACAATTCGGGAAATGAGACCTTCTGAGGAGCGTGTGGATGCACAGGACCACCACAAACAGTCCAACATGATAAAACAGAGTGACATTTCTAATCAATAATACAGTGCAATGTCAGACAAGATCACATCACCTATGCCTACAATGTTCATCATATAGTTGCCACACACACATAATCCACCTGTCCTACACACATACACACACAGAACCCACAACAGAAGGCACCTGCACACAATCTGCTCATTAGACTGTGATTGGACGCAGGCTGAAATAAATGCTGCCTCTCTGCTTCACACACACACGAGTAACTCTGGTGTTGGTGGGCTGCTGTTGCGTCGACCAGGCTGTTCACAGAAATGGCTTGTGGAATTCATTTGGGGTATGTTTTGTAACTGTGTTAAGTTGCTGTTGTCCAATGTCTTCTGATTTTAATGTTTTGTTTTCTGAGCAGGACCTTCTTGCTGATTTGTTTGTTTCAAGCAGAGCATGTACGCTGTTCATGGGCCACACAAGGTGAGCACAACACCACCCTTTAAAAACAAAAAAAATGAATTAGTTGTAGAGCTTTAACACTCTTGTCTCTCTTGCAGCTCTTGGCTCCCAGAGACAAAACAGCAATGCATATGTTGGCTTCTTGCAAAAGGACAGTGGACTAAGAACTGTTGGCAGTTATCCCCAGAATAAATTCAGACAGGCCTCTGTTTCTCCAGGCTTGGCCCAGAGCAGTATCCTCAATCCAGAGCCTGCAGTTAGCAGTGGTTATAATCAGGGGTTTTCCAGCAGTGGCTACACACAAACTGTTTCACAGCCAGCTCACAGTGGCTACGCTTCAGTCAGGTTAGCGCAGAGCAGCTCTGGGTCAAATCCCAATTGGCAAAAAATAGGCTCCAAGCAGGTAAATGCCCAAAGTGTCCCAAAATTGCAGTTCTTGGGCCTTTCTACCGCTATCGCTAGTGGAAGTTCTTTGAGTAAGCACAGTCAAAACCAGAACAGCCTCAGTGACAGGAGAACTTGGCCCACTGAGCAGGGTACACAACGTATTAACCAGCATTCGTCCAGAAATTCTGCATCTGCTCAGAATCCAGCCTACTCTGTGCAAGCGGGTTATGCGCAATCTTCGCGGTCTTCTAGCCTGTTCAGTGCAGAAGGTCCTGTGCCAAAAGACAGCTCTGTACGGAAGCACACCTCAGCCACTGCCCGTGCTCGACGAGTGTCTTCACGGCCTAAAGCTGCAGCATCTAAACCCTCTCGTTTTTCAGTCTCTCAAAATGAGGGAACCAGAAATAACCCCAGCCAGACCGTGGATGGAAATTGGTTCCAGAGCAAGCTGTTTACTGTGACCCAAGGATCTGCTCAAGGAGGCTACAAGCCTGCTTCCAACATGGCCTCAAGTTATCCCCAGTCTGTTGCAGAACCTTACAAACAAAATGCTGCTGCCTTTGCACCACGCAGTCTTCGAGGGAGCCAGGGCTTGAACTATGACTCCAGCTACACCGCCACTGAGCAGATGCCCAGCCAAACCCGCCCTGTGTCATTGGTGTGGAACACCAGAAACCAGGAAGAAGGTGGCCTGCGTGTCACAGGGGGCTCTTCTCAGCACTTTTCCCCGACCAGAACCCACAGCATCCCTCATCGCTTCGGTGGCTCGCCCATCAGGAGGCTGAGGGGGTCATCTGACCAGAAGCAAGTTGTCCGGACCCCACAGCTGAAATACATGGCTCCCTCACAGCAGACTGCTTCCTACAATCCACAGGTTCAGAGTGTTCACCCAGAGAACAAATGGGTGAGGATCAGCAAGCTGCATCAATGACATGAGAAGGTGAGTACACAACATTTCTCTGTCCTACATGTCTAACATTGTTTTCTAATGCTATCTTTTTTTCTAGATGCAGCAGGATGCCAAGTCCAGATTCAGTGTTTTTGGAATAAATTCTTAATTTATATCTCGTCTCTTGTCTTTTTCTACCACACACCTTGCATACACTGCAGGCATGGTGGTCAGGAGCACTTTGGGGTTCAGTATTAGGCAGGTGAAATGAGGGAGACTGAGATTGAACCACTGACCTTCTGGTAAGTGGACAACTCGCTCTCACTCATGTGCCACAGCTGCCCTAAACTGCTTCCTCTGTTCACAAAGCCTTCACAATGCTCTTCTGAGTGAATTTCTATATCTAATGACCAGCATGGTTAAACATGAAACACTGCCCCTCTGTGGACATAGTGGAGAGTTACTGTGTATGGTAATGGTATGTGGAGCTCCTGCTAATGACCAGTCTTGAGGTGGAGGTAGAGTCATCTTGCACCTTGTGGGGGGAATAAACAGGTTGAGCAGCTTAGAGACCTATGGTCGACTTCCAGGAACCTGTCAGGTGAAGAGAAAACAAACACCTGACATGACTGGGTCACTGAACTCTTCACTGTTATCCCCAGTACAGTGCTACATGATGCACTTTCATTATTCACCCACAGACAAAACTATTGGTCTTACACATGAGTAATTTCAATGTGTTGGCAGTTTTGTATAATTTGATTAAACACAACTTTATGAATGTTGATGCTAATTCTAACCTAAAACTAAGTCATTTGTTAACTGAGAATTTAAACCATAACCTGGAAAGTACATTTCAAACATCCTTAAGAATGGAGGATTCACTAAAAACTGAACTTTACTTTCCATAATTCTTTTCTTATTGTCTCAGCACATTTTCACTTTCTACTTTTGTTAAACACAGCGCTTAAAAAAAAAAATAGGGGTACACTAAAATCACACATCAGATCTTGATGAACAAATGATTCATGTCTTTAAATACATTATGTAACAGTCAAAGCAAATCAAAATCATTAACCCAATGAGGGCTGGATTCAAAACCACACTGGAAATCAAAGCAAAGAATTTAAATCACCGGCTGATCCAACTTGTGTGAATTTCATCACAGAAACTCAATGTGACTCTGTAGTGTTTGGCCTCTGTGTGGCTTTGTGAACTCTTGACACCCTCTGGGCATGCTCCTGATGAGTTGGTGGATGGTGATCTCCTCCCAGACCTGGATCAGGGCATTGTGAGCACCTGGTCAGTCTGTGGCAGAGCTTGGCTCTGTTGGTTGCACCAATACACAACGTCCCTTAGGAGCTCAATTGGATTTAGGTCAGGGGAACGAGAGGGCTAGTCAATGGCATCAATGCCTTCGTTATCCAGGAACTGCCTACACACTGACCACATGAGGCAGGGCATTGTCCTGCACCAGGAGGAACCCATGGCTCACTGCACCAGCGTAAGATCTGCAGCAGTCAGGGAACCGTTGGCTATGACATGGAGTTCTGTGCGACCCTCAAACTTTCACCACAGCGTCTGTAGACTCTTTCACATCTGTCACATGTGCTCAGTGTGAACCTGCTCTCATCTGTGAAGAGATTTGGGCCTGCCAATTCTGGTGGATGCCTATCAGGCTGCTGGGTGCTGGGCTGTGAGCAAAGGTTCCACCAGAGGTCGTCAGACCCTCATGCAACCCTCATGGAGTCTGTGTCTGACAGTTTGGTTAGAAACATGCACACCAGCAGCCTGCTGGAGGTCATTTTGTAGGGCACTGGCAGTGCTCCTTCTGTTCCTCCTCGCACAAAGGAGCAAACCTTCCTGCGACTGCTTCAAATTCCACGAGCGACAGATTGCAATAACATGATTGTGTTAAAAAGGAAGAATGAAAAGGTCTGCAGAATAGGAAATGAAATTATTGAGCAAAGCGAGGGTGGTTAGCAACAGGAAATGTGTTTGTGAAGAGAGATAAACGGGCAGAGGGAGGGGAGTGAGCTCGTGTGTTTAAAAGTGTGAAGAGAAACAGAGTTACTGCATGAAACTCTCAGAGATCTCCCAGCAGTTGAGTGCTGAGGGTACAAAGGAATTTCACCAATCTAAATGACCACTGAGGCTTTTCAAAATATTAGTTTTACGTTGTGTGCAAATGACTCACTGATTTAACATCCTGCAGATGCTCCCATCTGCATACTTTTTGTAGTTGTCTTACGCCAATCCCATAATGTTCCTCGGGCGTGAAGTAAAAACCTCTCAAACCAAATTTTGTCTTTGTCACTGTAACCACACGACCACAGTTTCTTGTTTCTATTAGACTGTGAACTCATTTCCTCCAGATTATTAGAGGCACTTTATGAGCAGATGAAAACAGCATGAGTTGCTCAAAATGTCTGTTTCTTAAGTTATATCAGTGAAACATGCAGCTGGACTGGGAGGGTCCTTTGTCTCCATGGTGCTTCCTTTTCCCCTCCTCATCCATCATACACACAATTACAATATGGAAACAACGGAGGTCTCTTTTACACTGACTACCTGTTTACATTATATTCATCCTGTTTACATTATTCATATAACTACTATTTTTATATTTCTCTCATGTTGATATATATATATTTCCTATTTCCAATTGTTCACCTATTTATTAATTCATCTAATAATGCTTCTTATTTTCACTATCCTCTTATGCTGCTGTAACATCTTATCTTTAGACCATGATCCAGAACCAGGGTCCAAGGTCATTGTTGCATTATTTATCAAAAAGGCTGCATTTATACTCTATGTTTTCAAGATTACAGGATTGCATGTCAAGTGCTTTTTTCCAACAGCAACACTGATTCTCTAAACCTCTTTGAAACATGTTACTTGTTCACATTCCTCTAAATTGAGCCTCAAGTAAAACATGTGGGCGTAACCCTGGCCTGTTAACATTCAGCATAGCTCAAATCACAGTTCTGCTTCAGGTGAAATCATTACACCACAGGTCCTGGATCAAGACAGCAAAAGGAGAACTTTGGTGAAAACTGGAAGAGGAAAGCTACTTGTTTCATCGGGCTAATACTAACAATATTGTATCATATTGTCTTATCATGTCGTATCGTCACTTATCACGAATCAACGAGAAACTGAAAAGCCGAGACTCCCCCAAAATATTGAACAATCGTTTTACCAAACTAATAGTATAAACTTATTACCTCATAGCCTGTTTCCACTTCAACTGGAAACACGCAGGCGTTCAGTCCAGTCAAGGCAGAATTGGCTACTGTCTGTTTAACACCAAACTCTCCTGTTTACTTTACGTTGATTCACATTAAATGTTTTTGAGATGAAGGTATAAATAACCATAAATCATGAAATATTTTCATGCAACTCTTTCACTAATCCCAGCATGCTCTCCGGCATTATCTTCAAACACTTCACCTGAATAAATATAAAACATCTGATAAGCAGCCTGTCTCAACACTACAGTAATGTGATCCCACTCTGCCGCCGCTGCGTATGATATGTTTTTCCTGTTCATGTTAAAGAAGAAGAAGAAGAAAAAAAGCAGTCACTGACAAAGAATGTTCCAGGAGTCCACACCCACGCAGTCGGAATACCTTTTCTCTCTCCGAACAGTCCTGTGCTCATGTAAGATGTTTAAAGAGTGGCTGATTATCTGTCCTCAAAGTGATTCCACTGAAATCAAACGACTTGTGATTGGAGGATGTTTTTCAAATAGAAATAGAAATGTTCATTTACCCATGAACACACCAGAAAAGCACTGTCTTCATAACTTAACTCCCTTAATATCCATACAAATCTCACACAAAGCATTTCTAGTGTCTGTAGGTTCTACACTCAAGTCACACATGAGTTTTTTTCCCATTTTTTTCACTCTTTGACAGAAAAAAACCGTCTTCCTGCTGATCCACCCAGGTACGTCAAGCTGCAAACACAACAGGATTTCTGCTATCAGTTTTCAGAATAAAACACAGCACTGACAGAAAAAGGAAGTGCACAAAGTAAGGACTCATTGTGCAGAGTGACAATTAGGCCTGATTTAATCATTTTGATGCAGCACTGTGCAAACGTCACTTCAGTGTTGGCGCTGTGAATGCATAGCTGTTTAAACTACTTGATCAATCAATATATTAGCCTGCATCATAATTTGTAGTGAATCTACAGAGTAACTAGTAACCAAAGCTACCTGTGGGTGGAAAGTAGATTATTATTTTTCACTTTGCATAAGTAGGTAGTACAGGTAGAATTTGTGGCCACAGTGGATTTAGAACTGTTGTGATATCTGATCGTGGACTATTAATATTACAACTAGATATACAATATGTCTACTCACATACACCACTTTTATTGGCAATACCTCTATCTTTACAATTATCATTTCTGCTTCTTTAAATAACCAAATAAAGTACAAGTACATCAAGTTACTTCCCACCACTGTGTGCAATGTATGCAAATTGTATATGTAGATTTGAGATGAAAGCTTTTTCCTTTTTTTGTGTTTTGTCTGTTTTTTTGTGTGTGTAATTTGCTGCAGAAAATGAGATGATTGCTGTCGACTGTCAGATTGCAGAGTCTCAGAATTCTAGTTTTATTTTTACGTCACAGTCACAAAGCTTCCGGTTTGTCTGTGGCGATCACTAACTTGCTTGTGTTCTGTCAGTGGAGCGACAGACACTTCAGTGAGGGGGTGGAGGAGCGAGGCCAGAAGCGATCGTCTCGGCCGCCGGACTCTGGAGACCAGGAGCTTCGAGGTGAGATCTTCTGGGGACTCAGGGGATGACGACAGTGACGACAGTGATGGACACTTTGTAGAAGAAGTTACGTCTTTGTTTCTCACTGAGCCAAAACTTCTCAGGACTCACGGACCCCTGACAGCAGCGCGACGTTACTCGTTACACCCAGCGTTACATTACTTCACTGAAGCAGAGGCTTTGATTTAGGATGTTCAGCGCAGCAGCTTCTCACCAGGGGCGGCCACAGGAAAAAAGTTCTGCAGGCTGGGGGGG